CTATTCTATTCTATTCTATTCTATTCTATTCTATTCTATTCTATTCTATTCTATTCTATTTTATTCTATAGTGTAGGTGTGATACGAGGATATAGGATAGGTGAATAGCCCAGGACACAAGGAGAGATACCACAACTGTTTAGCACACATTTGGTCAAGGGATCGGCTTTACTTGTCTCTTTGACGAGTTGTTGTGTGGTGCTAAGAATGGCAAGACTAACTGACTATGCAGACGAAACGTCTGGGAATGAACCACATCCACGATCTGAATTTGGAAATGATCACGCATACAGTGGACTCCGGACTAGGTGCGTTTCTCTAAGGAACCTACCAATATGACAAAGTTGCGAAAACAAGGTAAAACAACTTCTACTTTTCGGTGTTTAAAATCTATTTTTCGTTGAATTGGAAGTTAGGAAATTAGACACTCCCAACTGTGTAGGTAACTATGAGAGCTTATGAGAGCTTAGTAAGAAGATGAGATGGAAGATAGTTCGATAGGCAAATAGTTATGGTCAAGGCTCTGTAATTATGCAGGCTAAAGTTCCAACAGGCAACTAGGTGGTTTTGTATGTAGGTAAGAAATCATACATTAAGGACATTTTAGTTTCAATAAATCTATAATTTCGCACTTTATGAACTCATTTGTATTTATAGCGAAATTTTGTGATGAGCTGTTCGTCGTCTTCTGATGAGGTCGACCTTTAAATACCTTCATCACAGACTTTTATTATAAAATGAAGTAAATTAACTCCTTTCAAGCTAAGAGATGCCTCAAAGCCCAACCATTATTCAAGCTTTCGACCTAGCAATTGTGTTTGATGCCATTTAGTCGGTGGATTTATCAAAGAATGATTAGTTCTGGCCTTAGAAGAAGCTCACCGAATCGTGGACAGACTGCCTAAACAGGCGTCTCTGCTGAGGCCGGATAATTCGGTCATTGCGAAAAGACAAGATTCATTTGCATCCGGATCATTACTCTCAGCGGTCAGGTAGCCCGATGCCGAGGCTGTAGACGAGTTGATAGCCGCCCCCTCTAGACTCGTGGAGGCCGCGACAACAGAAGATGCCGCAAAAGAGGCAGACGAGGTGGAGGAAGAGGAAGAGGAGGACAAGGAAGACGAAGACGAGGAGAAGGAGGATGAGGAGGAGGAGGAGGAGGAAGAGGAAGAGAAAGCAGATGTGGAGGTGGAGGCAGCAGTGGAGGAGTGGAAGGAAACGGGAGCGGAAGAAGACGACGTTAACGGGAGAGCAGTGGCTAGCGCAGTCGTCGTCGCCTTCGTTGCTACCGGAGGTTGTGCCATCTGCCTCACCTCCGCTTCCGTCTCCGCAACCACCTCCACCAAGCCATCCTCTTCCTCATCGTCCGACTCGTCAGCCTCCCCCAAAAACACCATCAGCCCGGGAGACATCGACAGGGACGAGGCTAACCGGCTGAGCTGATCCGTTGCCCGGTAGACGGTTTGATCCTGCTCAGCTGACGTGGTGACACGACATGATTCGCCAGTCTCGACAACAGGACGATTTATTGATTGCGTACCACAAACAGAGTGACAAGCTCCGCTTGCATCCCCGGTTCTCTGAGGGTAGACAGTTGCAGCTGGACTCAGACAGCCCAAGACGCCAGACTCCGTAGCGATGGCGGCCTGATAGGCTTTTCGGGGGGGTACACTTCGTCCGGCGGGATTCATCAGTCGGTACCCCTCACCGAGTCCGTCGGCTGAAGGACACATCGCATAGCAGACAGATTTGGCCAGTTTGTGTCTCGTCTGTCCGGCCGTCTCATTGACAGCCTCCGCTTCGTTGACGGTCTCGATGCGCCGTCCTGTTGGAAGATGTGAAACCTCGGCATCCGGAAAGTCCTCAAGTCCACCGTAACTGGGTAAAAATGGCTGACGTCGTGAAGCTGAGTGACCGGCATACTCGGCCACGGCGTCCGGCCGCTCGGAGTAGGTCTGCAGTCTGGCACGGCCAGTGTCGAGGGTGTCGACGGTGTGGAGGGTGTGGAGGGTGTGGGAAGGGTGGAGAAAGGCCGTGGCAATAGAGTGCCCGTTGCTGGGCTCCAGGCGAGTCGTTGTGGCCAGTTGAGGCGGGTGATGAAGACTTCGAGTGAAGGCCTGACAACTGGGCGAGACAGGCCGGAGGCCGGAAGAGGCGTCTGCCTCGAGTCGGTTTGACGAGTCGGTCGTCTCGGACACGAAGGTTTCAAATTCTGGCCTCAGACATGCCGGACCGGACGACTCTTGCCGACGTCGGTCACCAGCTCGAGGCCCGGTCACCAGACAGTTCGTCGGTGTCGCGTAGCCGGTATAGACCAGGCTTGGGGCCGCCTCTTCGCCAGGCGACCGACTCGTCGTCGTCGTCGTCGTCGCAGTCGCAATAGCAGGATTCGACAATGACGCGACTCTCGATGTCACCGGGTACTCGAGGCCGGAGCAGATGCTGCCCTGGCCGGCAGGATAACTGCCGGTTGCCGCGGCAACCACAGCTGCAGCCGCAACGGCGGCTGTGTACGCTTTGTAGGCCGTCTGGTATCCACCCTCTGACCTTACCTCCGGTTCAGGGTAGGGCTGAGAGTCGCATAGCTGCGACGAAGGTGGATGCTGGAGCTGAGGGTGTTGAAGGTGTTGATGATGATGAGAAGGAGGATGGGGATGATGATGATTGTGAAGAGGATAATGAGGATGAGGCACATGCGTTGGAGGGGGTTGGGGTTGGTGCAAATGCTGCTGGTGGTGGTGCTGGTGCTGGTGCTGGTGCTGGTGGTGGTGGTGGTGCTGGTGGTGGGGATGAGGTTGATGTTGATCTGGATGTTGGGTCTGATTTTGGTAGGAATTTGGAGGCTGTCTGTCCTCAGGATAGACGTCTTGATAGAGTAGCAAATCGTCTTCGTTTGACGAATGGTACTGTTGTATGGCCTGTTGAGTTTTATCCTCCAGCAGGTATTGATAGTATGCATAGGTGCTCTGGTGAGGATGTTGTTGGTGCTGGTGCTGGTGCTGGTGAAGTTCGGCCTGCTGGTCGTGCCCATGCAAACATGTGGCCAGATGAGTTTGACCGAGTTGTTGGTGTTCACTAGGCCCAATGTCATAACGACCCATCGAGGTGGTCATGTCTCTGGCCAACTTGTAGGCGGGTCGTGATGACGTGGCGGCAAGCGGTCGAGCCAGATTATCGCCTGCGTAGACGTCCAGCTCGCCGTTCAGTGTCAGTTGGCCCAGAGACTGGCGTTGCCAAGCGGCCGAGGGGTTCTCGTGGCTGGGATAACCGAGAGCCGACGAGGAGGACTCGACGCCTGGCGTGGGAGTGTACAACGCCCGACCGATGGGGTAGGTCGGAGATGCATCTGTCAGGCTGGCACCGAATGCCGATGAAACTGATGAGGATGAAGAGGATGAGGAGGAGGAGGAAGAAGAGGAGGAGGAGGAGGGTGGGGCGGGCAGAGAAGAGGTACCGCTCGTGTGGGCGACGGAGACTGGGCGAGGCTGTTGGGCGAGGCCGGTTGGGCTGAAAAAGGGCAGAAAGGAAGTTTGCGTCGTCAGGTCCCTGTTGGTGGCTGCCATCGCCGCTGCCGCGACAGCGGCTGCAGCCGCAGCTGCTGCGTACTCGGAATAGGCCGAGTCGACGGCTGATCCAAGTTGCGAGTTCGAGTGCTGGTGCGGCTGTTGGTGTTGTTGTGTGTGTGATGGTGGGTGTGGGTGTGTCGGTGTGTGTTCAAACAAGGTCTCGTCACCGGAGTACTCCGAGACCGGGTAGGCCACAGGTCCGAGGACCTGCTTCTGGCCGATCAGCGACGTCGGCAGACCATGGCGAGGCTGAGAACGTGGGCTCGGCTGTAGCGGATGGGCCGGATTCTCCACCGGCAACCCTGTACAATAGCCGGCTCTGCTCAAACCCCGTCTCCCGGAGCATGGGCTCACCGAGCCGGTCTCGGACTCGCCCACATCCAGTCCTGTCTGTAAGTGAAGCGGTAGCAACTGTCGATGCTGTTGCTGTTGTTGTTGTTGTTGTTGTTGTTGTTGTTGTTGTTGTTG